TGTCAGGTCAGATGTTCATGGCGTTAATACAAGGTAAAAGAACATTTTAGATGTACCAATGTACAGATCAGCTGCGGGTCAACGAACATTTCACTATAGGGATGTGTCCTTGTGGAATTCTCTGCCTCAGTCTCTTAAAAACATTGATACTTTGACTCATTTTAAAGTAAAATACAAACGTATGTTATTAGCAGAATGTTTAACTGAAAGTGGTGTTTAACAGATTTATAGAATATTTTAGAACTATAACCTATGTTATACCTTAGGTTAAAACTCAAAATTCATTTTTAGATATTTTTATAGATATAGAATTTCATATTTGTAATTAGATCCTGAAAAGCCCAATTGGGAGTATCTAATATTGTATAATAATAATAATAATAATGCTTTCCTCACGCTTCGAACGATTAAATAATTGGATGATCCTACCCTCTTTTTATTAGTGAAAATTCATCCATAATAATACTTGTTCCATCAATATCGTCAAAGGCGCTGGAATACCTCAGGTGCAGAGTTTAGTCCAAAGGGTAAGCGAAGAAACCGATACCGCCCATATGGTGTATTAAAAGTGGTCAATTTGGAGCTCTTCTCATCCAGTTTGATATGCCAAAATTCAGATGAGGCATCTAAGGTACTAAACACCGTTGATCCCTCCAACTCAGCTTCTACCTCTTCCACGGTTTTCATGGGATAGTGCTTTCGTACTGCTTTATTCAAAGCTCTTGGGTCGAGGCAGATCCGTAGATTTCCATTTTTCTTTTCTGTAACAACAATTGAATTCACCCACTCTGAGGGCTCCGTAACTTTGGTAATGGCTCCAATTTTTTCTATTCGACACAGTTCGTCTTTAAACTTGTCTTTTATGGCAAACGGTATCTTGCGTGCTGGATATACAACTGGTGGAACCAAGGGGTCTACTTTGATGTGGTAATCTCCATCGAGGCCACCAAGACCTTGGAAGACGTCCATGTACTCATCAATTATCTTTGCAGCCTCGGTTTTTATTTCTTCGGCAGGATGGTTAGGGAGTGGTTTACATTTAGGCCCCGACTCTAGCGCTGTGGACTGTGACTTGGATGGTGGTGTACTATCGCTACACGATGCTCTGATGCCGTATTAATTTCTTGTTGATCTGTGTTATTGCCTGGGTGAACTGCAGAAATTCGTTGTATCAACCCCATTTCGAGACATGATGGAAAACCGAGGATCGGAACAGCCCCTTCTTGGTCGATCACTTGAAATTCTGTATTCTATCGATAATAGCAAAAATAGCTCATTTTCACACCGCGATAACTCTTCGGTTTTATTGGATAAATTTATGTTTTAAAGTATCAATATAAAGAGTAAACATTCCTGAAATAACTGATGTAATTTTATATTAGTTTCCTTGTAAAAAAGTACAACTTACTCCAGAATATTTCAAGGCCACTTTTCCAACACCCAAAACATTGCATAAATACAATCGGAATTTAACATAAGTAAAATGCGGTATATATGCAAAATTATATTCAAAAATTATTTTATTAAATAATTAAAGAAAAACGTTATCGAAACATACCTTTAAGAAAATGAGATCTTCACGTCAAAAATCGCAACATATTTCAACAATTTTAATCGAACGGTGCGTTGAGAATAAATAGCTTGAATAACAATGAGCCTCACTGATTCACGCGTTGCATTTCGGGAAGACCCTCATTCCTCCTCTGACTCTCAACAATACTTTCAAGATGGGTTTTACGCAGCTCGGCTGTTCAGCATGTATCCAGGGCCTTAGTAAGCGTGAATTCCGGGTCTCGAAGCAGCCTGGCTCTCACTTCATCGCTGTGTATTCCACAGACAATGCGATCTTGAATAAGCGAGTCACGAAGTTCGCCAAACTCATGCGAGTTTCCGTAGGTCAGTAACGTAAGTTTCCACATTTTCGTCGCTTCGTTGATTCCTTGTGTTAAATACGTGACGTTCAAAAGTTATGTTCTTCTTCAGGATACAATACGTTTGAAACTTAATTGGATATTAAAGGCTCGATTTTATCTGTTTCCCCACTAGCGAAAGTGAATGTATTGTAGATTTCAACAGCGTCTTCGCCAGCGACTGTCAACACGGTTAAACACTGAACTTTTTCCGGGGTTTTATCGCGACCAGTAGCATTTAAATAAAGACGAAATTGTTGTATCTAGCGACGCCAATTCTCAGAGGCATTGCCTTCAAACGAAAGCGAATTCAAGGGTGGTAAAGTACCATTTTCCTGACACCATGTAAAGTTTAGTACTCATACGCCATAAGCACAACAACAACCTTTAATCACGCCCACTTGCTATTTATACATATGATGGAGTTAATATAAACTATTGCGAATAGCTAATTAGATGCTCAGTAATAACATGCTCCAAGCCAGCCTCCGAGCTATTTAGACTAGGCTCTAAGCTTTTGCCTTTGAAAGGTTAATTATTCTGAATTAGGCCCTAAGCTACATGTACATTTTCCCGACCGCCAAAAAGAACTTTTAAAATCTTGCGAGCTGGGCTTGAAACGACGACCTAAGGAACTACAGTCCTCTGCTCTACCAATTGAGCTATCACAAGAGCGTATTTTAGTCATGCGAAAAAAAACAATCAAAATACATGTGTATCTAGTCGCGCTACCCCTAACATCTGGCTCAGGCTTGTTCGAGTGTTGCCTAGTCTTTTTTTTTTTTTTTAGATAGATTGTTTGTTTAATAAGATTAACACATAGCAGCCAATAAGGCTGAATTGCGTGCTAAATTTTACAAGAGAAATGATTAAAATTAGTTATTCTATATTTACAGAAGTTTAAAATTACATTACAATTTATAATTCTATATTACAGAAGTTTAAAGTTACATTACAAATTAGCTATGAAACTAGTAAATTTCTAAAAAAATGTTAGCCAGTCTAAAACTGAATATCAGAATCGATTGTCAGTTAATATTATTGATATGCCTTGCAGATGAAGGGAAAAACTGTTTCTAAATCTGTTCGTTTTGGTCTGAGGAACAACAAAAGACCTTGAGTGTCTAAGGTCGTAATTTGGAAAGTATCTAGATGGTACATGATTATGCATATTAGCTACTGGTGTTGTGGTGATTTCATTAAACAGTTTCTCGCATGCATCCACACGCCTGTCACTTAATGGTTTGATGCCCGATTTTTGTAAACAATCCGCATAACCTGTCAGTGGATAGATGATTGATAAAACACGCTTTTGAACCCGTTCCAGGGCATTAGATAAGTAGGAAGGAAGGGCGAAGTGGAAAACTTGACAGCTGAATTCCATGACTGGTCTGACGCAGGTAGTGTAAAAATGTATTATGTCAGCTTCAGGTACATGAGCACGTTTCAACTGAATAATAAAATAAATCCGTTTGTTCGCCTTTTCGCACGTTTCAACTGAATAATAAAATAAATCCGTTCTTTCGCTCATTATCTTGTTCTGTGGCGTAATTGTACTAGGGTTGAAGACTGTCGAAGGAGTACCTTGTGCGCGTTAATTGGTCGCGCTACCTGGCCTTATAGATTTTGAAAGCTCATTATAAATTCCGCCAGAGTGTTAGCTGAACAAAATGACGTCATACATTTTGCAAGCTCATTATAAATCCCGCCATATAAGGGGTATAACTACTTTCGTCGCAATAATTTATTTGAAGAAGTTTGTTAATATTGGTGGTCGTCGTCACGTTGCCGTCGTACATGCGCGGATGTCGTGCTATCCTTCCCAGTCGTACCTATAATATGTCAACCTGCGTCGTGCAGCTGGGGTTCGCCTACTCGTATTGTCGATGATCTTTATAACGTCTAACGTAACGAATTGGACAGAATTGCTGTTTCGAAACCAAAAGCGGACAGGTTTTAATTATGTGTCAGTTTACGTTCAAACATGCGTTAAGTCGCTGAGTTAATAGGCATAGGCCAATCAGGGACGTCGCTATAGGGAGGGGGGGTGTAACACCCCCCCCCCCAATAATTAAAAGTTGGTCAAAGTTGGTCAAGATGGAATTGATATTTGCCTAAAGTTGGTCAAAATGGAACTGATATTTGCAATTGAAGGTCAAACTCGGAAAAATGTTTGTAAGAGCGAGGCGATAGCCTTGTTTAAATTGGCCGAAACATTTCAAATATGGCTATATATGATTTTTTTTACCTCCCCCCTCCCCCCCCCGGTCGAAAATTCCACCATGTTCCTATTTGAAGTGCAATTATGCGTAGCATTGGCTATATATAAAACAAGGGGATCTCAATAGTTCAGGGTCAGTTTGTTAAACTCGGCGCTCTTGTGTGTTAGTCGGAAAGACATAGCTGTGTATACATGTGTGTATATAGGTAGGAAGCAACAAAATTGTGTCACAGATTTTGTTTTAGCGTTTTTCTTCACCCGTCCCCTCCCCAAAGACCCTTTTTTATACTCCCTCGCTCCTCGGCTTACGGTCTCGTATTTCCCAAAACTATCTACCTGTAAGCCAACGGGAGCATGAGGGCAGGTAGAATAGGTTAAAGATAATAAAAGATAAGAAGGTGGATGTATGACAGGACGATACAAATAAAGAAGCAAAACAGACACAAGACAACGGCAAATTACAGAAAGTTAAGCGGAATAGAGATGCCCTGGACGTTAAGAGAGGGTTTGTGCTATATAAGAAGACTATTTAATTGCTATTTAATTCCTATTTTATTGGGCTATTTAATTCTTATTTGTCAAAATATTTATTTCCTATTTTTACTATTATTTTTTCTCGAGGTTTTTCCTATTTAAATTAGGATAGAAATGCTATTTTTTTCCTATCCAAATGGAACCATATTTCTTTCCTATTCATGATATATTTCTAAACAAATACTTAATTGATGTACTCGAATGGAAATTAAATATGATAAAAATAGGGCTATAAATAGTTTCGACATAGTTAAGAAATATGTATGAAATAGTTAAAACATAGTGACAATATAGGTAAAAAATATGTAATAAATAGCTGAAATGAGTTTCAGCAAAGTTTAAAATAGTTAATAAATAGTTCAAAAATAGTGATAGTATAGTTTAAAGATAGGTAATAATTAATAAATGGTTAAAATATATCCCTGCTTGTTAAAAATAGATAATAAATAGTGGATATAATATTGCCGAAATAGATTAAAAATAATTAAAAAATAGTAATAACATATTAAACAAATAGCTAAAGTATGTCCTATTAATTCAGTTAAAATAGTTATTAAATAGTGTATACAAATACATATAGCCTATAAATATTTTTAAAATATATTATAAATAGTTAAAACATAGATAATAAAAGGTTAAAACATATAGCATAAATAGTCAAAGAAAATATAATTAGTAAAAAAATTAAAAACAAGTGAAGAACATGAGAGGCTATTACAGATTATTTAATACAGTATTTACCGTTTATAAATGCCAGACAATTTTACTTGTCAGTAGGTAGGGTACTGCTAATAAATGAGGTAAAAATCTGTAGTCTTTTAGCCAGATATTCAATATGGTAGAGATACTGTGCTTAACAGTCTCTATAGTAGCCACAGAGATAAGTATATACATACAGTAACTTGGCTGGAGACTGGGCAGAAAAATATTGCATCCAATTGATCTAAATATGTGAACATGAAACATGGGCGGAGTCTAGTACGCTAGCTATATAGACACTTCCCTTGATGAATAAAATTTTCCGGCATTAGGTAAGATAACATTTAATAACAATTAAGTGCTGAATATTGGCTCATTGGGGTGAAATGGGTAATACCAAAACAATCAAACCCTTGCCGTGGTGTCTCCAATATATATAAAATGTAGCCCAATTAAATTAAAGGTTGTTACATATATTATTAAAGCAGACCATGAAAACATGTGGTGTAACTAAATGTATTAATAAGTTTGAACAAGCAAACTAAGGACTGTTTCCAGGTAGGGACACGTCTATAATCATGTTGCCACACATGACAACAACACAT